GCATAGGCTCGTCGGGCAGCCAGGCAGTCAGCCTCTTGGCCGCCAGCGGATCGGCCAGCGCGTCGACCCCGAAGATATGGACCGAGCCTTCTTCCGGCCGGGTCAGGCCGACGGCCATGCGGAGCGTCGTCGTCTTGCCGGCGCCGTTCGGGCCCAGCAAGGCGTAGAGCTCGCCCGGCTTCACCTTCAGGTCCAGATTGTCGACGACGCGCTTGTCGAAGCTCTTCGCCAGGCCCGCAATGTCCAGCGCGGCTTCACTCATGCCGGCCGTCTGCCATGCCGCTCCGCCCCCGTCGAGACGCCTGGACGCTCTCCGGGGCAGAATAAAGGTTAACGCAAAATCGGCTCGCCCTGTCTTTTGCGGTTTGCGGAGGAATCCCTCTCCGTTAGGGGCTCCTTGATGAGCGGAACGGTCGACAGCCCCTATCAGGGCGCCTTCCTCGGGCGCGTCCACCATTTCGCCTTGCGCGTCTATTTCGAGGACACGGACGTTTCCGGCGTCGTCTATCACGCCAACTATCTGAAATATATGGAGCGCGCCCGCTCCGACATGCTGCGCGCCGCCGGCATAGACCAGCGCGCGGCGATCGAGAGCAGGGAGGGCGTCTATGTCGTCGCCGATCTGGAGATCAAATATCGCAGCTCGGCGAAGCTGGACGACGATCTTGTCGTGCTCAGCGAGGTGCTCGAGGTCCGCGCCGCAAGCTGCACCATTCATCAGCGAGTCATGCGGGGGCAGGAAGTGCTGTCCGACGGCCGCGTGACTGCCGCGTTCATCGCCGGCGGGCGGCCGAAACGGCAGCCGCGCGCCTGGGTGGAGATTTTCACGGGGCTGCAGAGGAAGGGGACTGAGTGAATTCATTTGCCTCAAGCGACAACGGTTTCGGTTGGCTGGCGGGCCTGTTCCTGCACGCCAATCTGCCGGTGCAGATCATCATGGTGCTGTTGCTGCTCGCCTCGGTCTGGACCTGGGCGATCATCGCCAGCCACTGGTCGAAGATGGGCCGGATCAACCGGGAGAATGACCGGTTCGAGCGCGACTTCTGGAAGGCCGAGGATATCGACACCTTCTACGAGGCGCGGGGGCGGAGCGATCTGCCCTCGGCCAAGGTGCTCGCCGCCGGCATCGCCGAATGGCGCCGCTCCACCAACGGCAAGCATCTCGACAAGGATGGGACGCGCGCCCGGCTCGCGGTCGCCATGCACAGCGCGGTCGGCGCGGAGACGGACCGGCTGTCCTCGCGGCTCAACATCCTCGCCACGGTCGGCTCGGTCGCGCCGTTCGTCGGCCTGTTCGGCACCGTGCTCGGCATCATGTTCAGCTTCTCGGCGATCGCCGCGGAGAAGAATACGAGCTTGGACGTGGTCGCCCCCGGCATCGCCGAGGCTTTGTTCGCGACTGCCATCGGCCTGTTCGCCGCCATTCCCGCGGTCGTCGCCTACAACCGCTTTTCCTACGGCATCAACCGGATGGAGGCGAAGCTGCAGCGCTTCGCCGACGGCTTCCACGGCACGCTGAGCCGGGAGTTGGAGATGGAGGGCTAGATGGCGATGGGCCCGATCCTCGGCTCCGGCCGGCGCGGACGGCGGCAGCCCATGTCGGAGATCAACGTCACG